CAATTGTCACCACCATCGTCACAACCGCCACCACCATCGTCACAACCGTCACCACCATCATCACAACCGCCACGACCATCGTCACAACCATCACCACCATCGTCACAGCCGCCACCACCATCGTCACAACCGTCACCACCATCGTCACAACCGCCACGACCATCGTCACAACCACCACCACCATCGTCACAGCCGCCACCACCATCGTCACAACCGTCACCACCATCGTCACAACCGTCACCAACGTCACAACCACCACCATCGTCACAACCGCCACCACCATCATCACAACCGCGACCACCATTGTCACAACCGCCACCACCATCGTCACAACCGTCACCACCATCGTCACAACCTTCACCATCGTCACAACCGTCACCATCGTCACAACCGCCACCACCATCGTCACAACCTTCACCACCATCGTCACAACCGTCACCACCATCGTCACAACCATCACCACCATCGTCACAACCGTCAGCACCATCGTCACAACTGCCACCACCATCGTCACAACCGCCACCACCATCATCACAACCGTCACCACCATCGTCACAACCGCCACCACCATCATCACAACCGTCACCACCATCGTCACAACCGCCAGCATTGTCACAACCGCCACCATCATCGTCACAACCGTCACCACCATCGTCACAACCGTCACCACCATCGTCACAACCGTCACCACCATCGTCACAACCGTCACCACCATCGTCACAACCGCCACCACCATCATCACAACCGCCACCACCATCGTCACAACCGTCACCACCATCGTCACAACACCCACCACCGTCACAACCGTCACCACCATCGTCACAACCGCCACCACCATTTTCACAACCGCCACCACCATCGTCACAACCGCCACCACCATCGTCATCATCATCACAACCACTGCCACGATCACCACCACCACCGTCATCACAATTGCGAGGGAGGGAGTCAAACCTGGGTCAGTGGCACCTTCCCTCTCAGCTCTGCCCTCCTGATTGACCTGTGGGAGAAACGGTCAAAGGGCAAAGACAGAGAGGTCAGAGAAGCAACAAACTTCACCACCACCATAACCATCCCCGCTACATTCACCACCACTACCATCCCCGCTACATTCACCACCACCACTACCATCCCCGCTACATTCACCACCACTACTACCATCCCCGCTACATTCACCACCACTACTACCATCCCCGCTACATTCACCACCACTACCATCACCGCTACATTCACCACCACTACCATCACCGCTACATTCACCACCGCTACCATCCCCGCTACATTCACCACCACTACCATCACCGCTACATTCACCACCACTACCATCCCAGCTACATTCACCACCACTACTACCATCCCCGCTACATTCACCACCACTACCATCCCCGCTACATTCACCACCACTACCATCCCCGCTACATTCACCACCACCACTACCATTCCCGCTACATTCACCACCACTACTACCATCCCCGCTACATTCACCACCACTACTACCATCCCCGCTACGTTCACCACCACTACCATCCCCGCTACATTCACCACCACTACCATCACCGCTACATTCACCACCACTACCATCCCCACTACATTCACCACCACTACCATCCCCGCTACATTCACCATCACTACCATCACCGCTACATTCACCACCACTACCATCCCCGCTACATTCACCACCACTACCATCCCCGCTACATTCACCACCACTACCATCCCCGCCACATTCACCACCACTACCATCACCGCTACATTCACCACCACTACCATCCCCGCTACATTCACCACCACTACCATCCCCGCTACATTCACCAACACTACCATTCCCGCTACATTCACCACCACAACCATCCCCGCTACATTCACCACCACTACCATCCCCGCTACATTCACCATCATTCACCACCACTGCCATCCCCGCTACATTCACCACCACTACCATCACCGCTACATTCACCATCACTACCATCCCCGCTACATTCACCACCACTACCATCACCGCTACATTCACCACCACTACCATCACCGCTACATTCACCACCACTACCATCCCCGCTACATTCACCACCACTACCATCCCCGCTACATTCACCACCACAACCATCACCGCTACATTCACCACCACTACCATCCCCACTACATTCACTACCACTACCATCACCGCTACATTCACCACCACTACCATCACCGCTACATTCACCACCACTACCATCCCCGCTACATTCACCACCACTACCATCACCGCTACATTCACCACCACTACCATCCCCACTACATTCACCACCACTACCATCCCCACTACATTCACCACCACTACCATCCCCGCTACATTCACCACCACTACCATCCCCGCTACATTCACCACCACTACTACCATCCCCGCTACATTCACCACCACTACTACCATCCCCGCTACATTCACCACCACTACCATCACCGCTACATTCACCACCACTACCATCACCGCTACATTCACCACCGCTACCATCCCCGCTACATTCACCACCACTACCATCACCGCTACATTCACCACCACTACCATCCCCACTACATTCACCACCACTACCATCCCCGCTACATTCACCACCACTACTACCATCCCCGCTACATTCACCACCACTACTACCATCCCCGCTACATTCACCACCACTACCATCACCGCTACATTCACCACCACTACCATCACCGCTACATTCACCACCGCTACCATCCCCGCTACATTCACCACCACTACCATCACCGCTACATTCACCACCACTACCATCCCAGCTACATTCACCACCACTACTACCATCCCCGCTACATTCACCACCACTACCATCCCCGCTACATTCACCACCACTACCATCCCCGCTACATTCACCACCACCACTACCATCCCCGCTACATTCACCACCACTACTACCATCCCCGCTACATTCACCACCACTACTACCATCCCCGCTACGTTCACCACCACTACCATCCCCGCTACATTCACCACCACTACCATCACCGCTACATTCACCACCACTACCATCCCCACTACATTCACCACCACTACCATCCCCGCTACATTCACCACCACTACCATCCCCGCTACATTCACCACCACAACCATCCCCGCTACATTCACCATCACTACCATCACCGCTACATTCACCACCACTACCATCCCCGCTACATTCACCACCACTACCATCCCCGCTACATTCACCACCACTACCATCCCCGCCACATTCACCACCACTACCATCACCGCTACATTCACCACCACTACCATCCCCGCTACATTCACCACCACTACCATCCCCGCTACATTCACCAACACTACCATTCCCGCCACATTCACCACCACAACCATCCCCGCTACATTCACCACCACTACCATCCCCGCTACATTCACCATCATTCACCACCACTACCATCCCCGCTACATTCACCACCACTACCATCACCGCTACATTCACCATCACTACCATCACCGCTACATTCACCACCACTACCATCACCGCTACATTCACCACCACTACCATCCCCGCTACATTCACCACCACAACCATCACCGCTACATTCACCACCACTACCATCCCCACTACATTCACTACCACTACCATCACCGCTACATTCACCACCACTACCATCACCGCTACATTCACCACCACTACCAACCCCGCTACATTCACCACCACTACCATCACCGCTACATTCACCACCACTACCATCCCCACTACATTCACCACCACTACCATCCCCACTACATTCACCACCACTACCATCCCCGCTACATTCACCACCACTACCATCCCCGCTACATTCACCACCACTACCATCACCGCTACATTCACCACCACTACCATCCCCGCTACATTCACCACCACTACCATCACCGCTACATTCACCACCACTACCATCCCCACTACATTCACCACCACTACCATCCCCACTACATTCACCACCACTACCATCCCCGCTACATTCACCACCACTACCATCACCGCTACATTCACCACCACCACCATCCCCGCTACATTCACCACCACTACCATCCCCGCTACATTCACCACCACTACCATCCCAGCTACATTCACCACCCCACTACCATCACCGCTACATTCACCACCACTACCATCCCAGCTACATTCACCACCACTACCATCCCCGCTACATTCACCACCACTACCATCACCGCTACATTCACCACCACTACCATCCCCACTACATTCACCACCACTACCATCCCCACTACATTCACCACCACTACCATCCCCGCTACATTCACCACCACTACCATCACCGCTACATTCACCACCACTACCATCCCCGCTACATTCACCACCATCACCGCTACATTCAGCACCACTACCACCCAGCTACATTCACCACCACTACCATCACTGCTACATTCACCACCACTACCATCACCGCTACATTCACCACCACTACCATCCCCGTTACATTCACCACCACTACCATCACCGCTACATTCACCACCACTACCATCACCGCTACATTCACCACCACTACCATCACCGCTACATTCACCACCATGACCATCACCACTACCACATTCGCAATAAGCACCAAAAACAAAAATCCCCCGTGTAGCCTTAACAGACTGTAGGGGCAAGTGCTGTTAGCGAGCACCTATGAAGGCCGGCACGGCACACGAGGGGATGAGTGGCCAGCACCACGCCAGACCGCCTTTGTCTCCCCGGTGGCGATATTTACTACGCACCGCACCAGGTTACTCATTTGAGGCTGAGTCGACCTAGGGAAGGCCCAGGACCGATTCAGATAATCGTCACCGGCGTTGGCTGTGAGTGGGAATCAAACTCGGGTTGCCGGGTTCGTAGCGCAGCGCGCTAACCGTTGCGCCACCACTCCCCAACACCGCTCCCCACCACCACCGCCGCCACTACCACCACCACCACCACCGCCGCCGCCACTACCACCACCACCACCGCTACCACCACCACCACCGCCGCCGCCGCCACTACCACCGCCACCACCGCCGCCACTACCACCACCACCGCTACCACCACCACCACCGCCGCCACCATCACCACTACCACCACCACCGCTACCACCACCACCACCACCGCCACCATCACCACTACCACCACCGCCGCCACCATCACCACCACCACCGCCGCCACCATCACCACTACCACCACCACCACCGCCGCCACTACCACCACCACCACCACGTTCACGAGCGTGGGCGGCGTCAGGATCGCGATTCCACGGCCTGACCCCTGTGACCCTGGCTACGCCAACGTGTGACACAGCGTGTAACACAACGTGTAACACAACGTGTAACACAACATGTGATGCAGCGTGTGATACAACGTGTAACACAGCATGTGACACAACGTGTGACACAACGTGTGACACAGCGTGTGACACAGCGTGTGACACAGCGTGTGACACAACGTGTGACACAACGTGTGACACAGCGTGTGACACAACGTGTGACACAACGTGTGACACAGCGTGTGACACAGCGTGTAACACAACGTGTAACACAACGTGTGACACAACGTGTGACACAGCGTGTGACACAACATGTGACACAACGTGTGATACAGCGTGTGACACAGCGTGTGACACAGCGTGTGACACAGCGTGTGACACAACGTGTAACACAACGTGTGACACAACGTGTGACACAGCATGTGACACAACGTGTGACACAACGTGTGACACAGCGTGTGACACAGCGTGTGACACAACGTGTGACACAGCGTGTGACACAACGTGTGACACAGCGTGTGACACAACGTGTGACACAGCGTGTGACACAGCGTGTGACACAGCGTGTGACACAACGTGTAACACAACGTGTGACACAACGTGTGACACAGCATGTGACACAACGTGTGACACAACGTGTGACACAACGTGTGACACAGCGTGTGACACAGCGTGTGACACAACGTGTGACACAGCATGTGACACAACGTGTAACACAACGTGTGACACAACGTGTGACACAGCGTGTGACACAACGTGTGACAC